GAGGTGATTGAAGTAGTCTCAGTGCTGTATTTTTTCTATAGTAGAATCAGTCCTTTACCCAGTCCTCCTCTTTGGATTAGGACCTCTCATTTAAAAAAAAAATCATAGTAATTTGTCAAAAGAGACTATTTGGACTTTGATCTTGCCTAGTACAATGCTCATTATAATCTGGACATGATTGGCAAATGCACTGGACAGCAGGAGGTGGGATGGAGTAGAGCAGAAAAATGCTAATTCAGATAGCTAAGGAAAAGTGAAAGTGGCAGAGTGTCTGTGAGGGAGTGGCTTTTTATTTTATGCCTATACTTTGCAAATAATGCTTGTTCACGGATGCTATTACAGATGTTTTCAGTGTTTTCACTTTGTTAAATAAATAATGGATTGTAAATTGCATTGGTGTGACATATGTATTCAGTTTGCCACAACCAAACCCAAATGTTTTAACACAGCAAGAGTTATCTTTCCACATCTTTCTCCATGGTATCTGGAGTGAAATGGATGTTATACTACTTGCTGATCAGTTAGATGAGGGCAGTTTAACTTCAGGGTGACAGCTTTATCCGCCTTGTGATACTCTTCTGCTCAGTGGTTTCACTGACAGTTGCTCTTGCCAGGAGGAAGAAGCTTGCTCTAAGATTTATTTCCTCTTTTCATGTGGACAAGGTGGTAGTGTCCCAGTCTTTAATTACCCACTAGTTGGTGGGCAGAAGATGATGTTTGGCTGTTGGAAACATACACTGTCTGAGGAGTTGTTCAGACTCCTCTAAGAAGAAGGTAACGAGCAGGCTAGAGGTGTGTCACAGCCAGGATCCAGCCTTTGGGTCAGTGCTGAGCTGTATTACGAGTCTCAAGTGAGGATTCCTCAAGGGAAAATCACACTAGTGATATTCAACAAATAAGCTTTTAAGTTGCTAGTTGTAGTGAGAGGTCACACACAGAAGGAACTTCTTTACGAGGTGTATCCAAGTTGGAGTCTTTTTGATGTTATACTTAATGTTAATGTCTATCCAAGGCAACTTTTTAATGTTAATGTATCTGTAATCATCACCAGCTGAAATTCTGGGAAAGACAGAAGCCTTTGTTCTTGCAAGATCTTGTTCTTCATCTTCAAGTTGAAACTGTATCTGTAATTGCAGGCACTTCTTACTTGTGAAGTAACAAGTAATTTAACAGAAGGTGAGAGGGACTCTGAAGAGATCCACAGTAGACAAGATTCAGATTCACCAGGCTTAGAAGTTTGAAATTGGTGCAGTGGAAAAGGTAGCAAAAGCTACAAAAAGTGCATGAGTGGTGTGGTCAGATCAGGCCATCCACTGTTGCACTGAGGCCTGAATGTGGTTCCTTGCAAGAGTGTTGAAGGCCTGTCGGTCAGCAGATACAGCTGTCAGAAAAATGTGTCTGTGTCTTCATGCTCCAGGACTGTGTTTGTCAGTCTTTCTGGTTAGTTACACTTCACAGGTTTTGGAGTGGCATTATTTGCTAAGTTAATAAGAATCAGGGTGATACAAGACACAGTCTAATACTTCTGTGTGGTAGGGGTCCTTAATCAGCTGTCTGAATGAGATGCACGTAGCCTGGGTGTGAAGTCTGCCTCTGAAGACCCTGGAGGGAAAAAGGAATATGTTAGAGAGATCCTTTTCATCCGAAGGTAGACCTTCTAAACTGCTGCTTGTCAGCTGCTTTTTAGTCTTCCCTGTTCGCTTTGGTACAAACTGACTGTCACTAAAGCTGGGAGAGATTCCACCCTATGCCTTGTAACCCGGAGCAGCTAATACAAACCTTAAGGATGTAGTGCATATAGGCAATACTTTCTGTACACAGGAATTATAGGCTGTTTCAGTGCTTGTAATTTCCTGAACACCAGTCCACCAGAAGGGTGAGTACCAATGTGCTGTGTAGGCACACCTTTCTTTTACTGAGGATGAGTACCTGAGGTTAAAAAAGAAAGGCAAACATCAGCATTACAGGTGACTCTTAATTCTGTCTCTATATATTATGCATGCTAAGGATTAAAAATTAGTTAGTATAGCTTTTAGTAATGCAACGTGCATCAGCTTTTTGTCAACTGAAATACGGTGAAGTTACAAAAATTAATGGAATGCATGAATAAGTAGATATGTCAGTTAAACCTAAATGTGCTCAACTTGGATATCCTTAGTATGCTCAAGGCACAGAAATTATGCTCCTGCATACAACTGCGAACGCAGAATTTGTAGTGTGTTTTAATGTGCAGTGTGATAGCATTATAGTGTCTGCAACTTCTCTGTTCAATTTGTCAGCCTTAGTTTGCATCATTCAGACAGAGGCTTGTGTAAACATTGCTTCAAGAGCCATGCTGTGTGAATGAATTCAGTCATATTTCATTACTTTATTGATCAAAATAACTCTTTACTGTTTGATATTCCTGTTAACTATGTAGAGCCAAGATAGAAAAGAAAGTGTGGGCTGTGTTTGTTCGTGTTCTTTATTTGAATCACTTTCTGAATTAAACATATGCAAACTTACTTGGGGAGGGGAGCACTACTGAAAGTCTCATTTGCCATAATTGGTTGCTAGTGAAGGAAATAATGCTGCTAATAATTTGAATTCTTGAACTTCAGGTTGGGTTTGCTGGACTAGCAGTTGTACCAAAGAAAGAGAAAAGATACTTATTTTAAATTGTGTTGATAGAAGTCAGCACAAGCTGGCTGTGAATAAATTTTGTCTGTAATCCAGCTCAGAGTGAAAAGGAAAATAGGAGAGACACATCTGTGACACCCTCAGCAGCAGCTTCTTGAGCATGTTGGTTTTCATTCTGTGGAAGAAGCCATGCAGATTTTCCATAAGCATAATTTTAACTCATGTATTTCAGAAGCCAGAGTTTCTTGTACAGAGAGTTGGTGTTTGTGGCAGGCTAAACTCTGCGATGCGTCATTGGGTCTTTTTGGTATTTTGGCTTTTTCCTTTTGGATGAGGTTCTCTAGCAACAAGATTTGTTAGTCAAAAATATCTCTTGGATAAGCTGCTTGTGGTTCTGCTGGGTGTGTTTTCATTGTGCACAGCCTCTGTCCTTCATGCCATGCCAATTATTGGATTCTTAAAAAAAATTAATAATAGACAAGAAAATGTATACTTCAGTTTTGTTGACTGCATATTAGCGTCTACCTGAAGATCCAGGGAATGCTTAGCCGACATCTTTAGAGAAGAGTGTGAGCAAAAGTGTGAAACAACTAACAGGAGTGTATATATGTAACACACATATTTCCCATTTTGTTGTAAAAGAAAGCAGTAATAAGCATTTTATCCAAGTATTGGAAGATGTTTGTTTTACAAATATGCAGAAAACTCGAGGACATTGAGTCTAAATGACTTTTTGTGGACAGTGCTTTTAGGGAATGGTGCATTCATTTTGTGAAATTAGCCCTGCATTTCAATGTCAGCTGTGAAGCGTAACCCTGCGCTTGGTGAAATGGGGAGCCGAGGTGACTTGGATGTAACTGAAAGGCTTCCTCGATACTCTTTGCAATGCCGTTGGAAGCAGGTTGGCTCAGAAACAACAGCAAATTAGGTGCCAGATTTCTAGCAAACAATGGGGAAATTGCGTTTGCTTAGTACGTTACATACGCTGTTCAGTTTTTGGACTTGTGTCTAATATTATGTAAGGCAGAGATTGGCAGCTTTTCAGGAGCGAGGTGCCAGATTGTATTTTTCTTCCACAAATTAGGGGTTAAGAACGCTGGTTGAAAACATGCAAGCGTGCTGTCAGGCAGTGTTTCCGGGAGGGCTCTTGGCACCCCAGGCTCCCGGTGCTCCAGCTCGTGCCAGTGGTGCTGGTGTGGTGTGCCTCTGGAAATCCACTCACCTCTGCCTTTGCCATATACGCGAGGAGTTGGGAACTGCAGGCCCAGGAGGAGACTCTGTCCCATGCGTCTAAAATTGTCTGCTGTAATTGCTGCCAGCGGGAAGTTTGGCAAAAATGTCTTGTGCGAGGTTGGCTTAACGTGGCTCTGCAGAGATGTTTTTGTAGCGGGTACTTTGGAGACTGGATGGTCCGTGTGAAACCAGATGTAATCAATTGACCAGTAGTGTCCTCTTTTACATTGCATTTTTCTAAAACAGGAATGAGCACGAGCAGATTCTTGATGCAAGTTTTGAAGAAATAGTATTTGAAACCCCTGAGCATATGCAAAAAGATGCTCTTTGTGATGTGGCATATTATAATGCCTATATTGGTTTTGCAGGCTGTGTTAATCAAGAAGTAATATAGGATAATAACTTGTCAGCCTGCTTTAGAATCTAACCTTTGACAAAGAGCTCTAGCTGTTTTATATGTTTAATAACTCTTGGGAGTACTAATTATCAGATAACCTGGAGTCATGTCTGAACAGTGAGCTGTTGAAGTGAACTACACTTTTTTCAAACCTAGCGGAAGTGTGCGTGAGTTGGTCTCTTATTTTGCAGTATCATTCGTACAGACGCACTGGTGTTACGTCTGGTGTAACAGGTTTCAAGATTGTGCCTGTCAACGCTTGTATCAAAGTGTAGCAGGTTCAAGAAGCAACAGTCGGATTATAGGCAGCTGCCTCTTGATTTTAGGACAAGGCTTATTGTTAAATCAAAAGCTTTCAGATGTAATTATGGCATGGGACAGTGACTCTGTAGATATTCCCAGAGTACCACTTCTGCAACCTTTCAGCATGGAGACCATGTTGTCTTCTGTCCATGGTCATATGACAGCTAGATCAGTTTTCTCACGTAGAGAATAGAAATGGTTTCTACGTAGAAAAAACTTATGGTGAAAATATCTAAATTATTTGTATCAATCCATATCATATCTCAGTGATTTTGGTCATTCCTTACTAAAAAAACTAGCATAATTTTCTTCCTTAAATTAAAACAAAAAGCAAGCGTATAAATGTATGACTAGTTTTGAATTTAGTAGCATGTACTAAGTACTCGCAATATTTAACATATAATTGCTAGTATACATTTTAATGGTATTTCATGTTTTCTTTTCCCAGGAGCTGTGATCATCTCTACCCCACAAGACATGGCTTTATTGGATGCACGCAAAGGAGCTGAAATGTTTAGAAAAGTCCATGTACCTGTAAGCCTCTACATTAAAAATACCAATAGACTGTTTTCCCAGAATGTAAATAAAATCTCCATAGACTACAATATGTGAACAAACCATTCGGGAATCACTTGAATTTCATAAATTCTTCTTCAAAAAAAAGGATTAGAATCCGTCTTACATCAGTATCAGGAGCTTGCTTTAACAGAAAGGAGAGAATTTTCTCAGGCCGAGGTCAAAATAGTGCTTGATTTCTTTTAAATCGATTTGTTTAATCTCCTGGAATGGATCAGACTGCTAACCGGACTGTCTTACAAAGTAACGTGCGCTTTCCAATTATACTGTCTTACTGTATCCTCATTATGTGTCCTCTTCAGCACTGTGTTGGAGCTTAAAATCAAAAATTTCTTGAAATGTGGAAAAATCATGTATTAGTACATTTTAGGAAGGAAATCTGCGTTTTTGGGGAGATACGCATGTACCTAATTGCCACTTTGCCATTTCAAGGGCTCCATGACTGTCATGCTAAGTAGAAGACTGGGTGTATCACTTTGTTTTTCATGAGGTTTATACCTTATATGGTAGCTTGCTTGTTTGGGAAATGCAAAATTTAAAAATATCCACAATATTCATATGGAATGGGAGAAAATATTAAACAGGGTGACATTCTTGACTCGGTATTTTCTGTGTGTGCTACAAGTTGCTAAGTAACTGCATGTTATACTCTAGAGTTTGCGCAGAGATTCATTTTTCATTTGAAATGTGCGGTTTATGAGAAAATATAAACTGAAATGCTTCCCTATCTTAAACAGTAAAGAGAAAAAGCCATTTGCTATGCTTTAGAAAAGGTGTTTTCTTGCTTACCTGTGTGAAGGTCATTTCAACACTTTATTAAGGAAGGAAATTTCTTTCACAGCTAGTGCTTTGTTAATTTTAAAAATGCAACAGAAACCTTGAAGTGACTACTTTCCCTTTTTGTTTTGATTTACAGAATAGCTTAACAAAAGAAATTCGTTGATAAATTCCTTATTGTTAACTATTCCTTAAGCAGATTTGCACCAAAATGAAAGTATAGTAGCATTTATCACTTGCTACTAGAAGGAGAAAAAAATATATGTAACAGAAGAACATATGGAATGTTTTGTTTGATTTTATGTTTGGGTTTGCTAAAATTGCGCAACATTATTTTCTTCAAATAAAATTGTGTTCAGGTTAGTACTGTGCTGAATTTTCCTTTTGATTTGATGAGAAATTACCAAGATTTCTTTCTAAATCTGTTTTGCTCAGTGTTCTTTGAAGAGAGTGGCCTCTAAGAAAATCGTACTTTCTAGAATAGGCTTGGCTGCTATTAATGTGACTAGTAGTAAGATATTAAATATGATCTATTTTGATTCGTTGGTATTTTCAGATCATGAAAAGTCACAGCGAAGCTGTTGCACCAGGTGTTGAGTTTTAATGCACTTGAACCAGTCATCAGGTCTTACCTTTTTCATGATTCTGCTTTATTTTATTCTAACCATGTGTGCGCCTCAGTACAGATGTGTCATTTACTTCAGTGTTAAATCAGCTCCTGCCTCTGTGTTACATTTCTAAGTGTCAACTAAATTTGAGGATCCAAATAAAGTCTAGTTATGTAATTTTTGATGGACAGCTTCAAACCTGAGGCTTACATCAAAGAGGTGGAGTCTGTGGAACTGTACTAAAATTGTGTGTCCGGATTATATAATGGACTGATCTTTAAAAATCTAATCTTTAATCTAATCCTTAAAAAAGCACTTGCAATGAGTCTATTTTCAAAGAAGCAGGGAATCTGTAGGTTGCTGAGCTCTGAGTTCTTTGAGTGTGCTTGCTGATATTTAATGGACTGGAGTTGCTCCCTTGTACACATAGGCATATGTACACACCACGTTCCCCTCACCTCACCAGTCATCAGTTACCAAAGCCTCAAATGACATATGTAGTATTAGCACAGTGAAATAAGAACTGTTAACATTGTTTGTTTGTCCATTACTGCATTGAGATTACAGTAGAATGACTGAAGGAACTGAAGAAAAGCTGGCAATGAGAGTCAGCGTTAGAACCAGGATTACAATGCGAAAGTCTTATTTTCAGTCTTAGGACGTAGTCATTAGAAGAGGAGTGCCATCTCTTCTGCAGTGGAGCTCACCTGGTAAGGAGGGAATTTGCAAAGTGATGCTGACTCGTATCACAAGAGATTTAAAGATTCTCACCCATTATGTGAGTTTGGTTTGGCCATCATTTCCATACATCCCAGAGGCTTGCTCTGAGCAGGTAACAACAAAAAAAAAGTTATTAACTGTAAGTATTTAGGAAAAAATTGTCTATTTTCACCTGCTGAAATTGAGTTCAGTTCAGTATGGTTTATCTTATCAATCATACCCCTGAAAGAGACAGGGTTTTACTTAAATCTGCAACTTCTCTGGTAGCTTCCTTACCTGTGGATTTCATAGGTTTCAGAAAACTGCTATTTAAACTCAGCGATGTATTTCCTTCTAAGATGTACTGAAATTGTTTATTTGGCTATGTACTTACTGGTATTTCTATAGTGTCCAGAGTAGCCAGCCAAGATTATGGCTTCATAATGGGAGTGGAAGTTACAGCTCGTTATAAGACAGAAATATTACTGTGCGTGTTTACGTGAAGCACTAAAATGTCAGGTGACTGACTGATGATTACGTAGGAAGTCAATGGCAGACTGCAGAACTGTAACAGATTACAGAATGTTGGAAGGGACTTCTGTGGGTCATCTAGTCCGACCCCCCTGCCAAAGCAGGGTCACCTACAGCAGGCTGCACAGGACCTTGTCCAGGCAGATCTTGAATATCTCCAGAGCAGGAGACTCCACAACCTCCCTGGGCAGCCTGTTCCAGTGCTCCGTCACCCTCAGAGGGAAGAAGTTCTTCCTCATGTTCAGACGGAACTTCCTGTGCTTCAGTTTGTGCCCATTGCCCCTTGTCCTGTCGCTGGGCACCACTGAAAAGAGTCTGGCCCCATCCTTCTGACACCCACCCTTCAGATTTTTATAAACATTTATTAGGTCCCCTCGCAGCCTTCTCTTCTTCAGGCTGAACAAGCCCAGCTCCCTCAGCCTTTCCTCATAGGAGAGATGTTCCAGTCCCCTCATCATCCTTGTAGCCCTCCGCTGGACTCTCTCCAGTAGCTCCTCATCTTTCTTGAACTGGGGAGCCCAGAACTGGACAGAGTACTCCAGATGAGGCCTCACTAGGGCAGAGTAGAGGAGGAGGAGAACCTCCCTCAACCTGCTGGTCACACTCTTCTTGATCACTTGATCTCCACCAGACTGGAGTTGGACCTCAGCGCCATCCATGAGTGCAGTGAACAACTTAAGTGGGTTTCTCAGGAATTGTCTCCTTTTATAAAGACAGAGGGCTTTCATTCTCTCAGTGTATTTTCTTTAGCTTAGAAGGTAGTATATTTGGATTATTTGGATATATTTGGTATGATTTGCTGTATAACCAGAAGATTAATTGGGCATAAGAAATAAGTAAACATTCAGCAACAGGGTGTGTGCAGATAATTCATAATGAAAGGTTTCTGCATTTCTGGTTATTTCTTGATAGATTTCTCTTTACCCTTTAAAATAACAATTTGACTAAATGAAATTCGATTCTGTGCATTATGACTGTCCTCTCCTCCACTGCCGTGGGTTATCTCCTGTATTGCGGTGCGTCTCATCATACAAGTTTTCATGTCATTCCTGAGCTGAGTTTGCTGAGAACTGTACAGGGAAAGGAGCTTTAGTGAGCTTGAGTGACTAGAGTAGGATCCATGCATACATACAGGAGTTTGTGTAGACAATAACAGCTGCTTTGAAGCTTTTCCAGATCTAGTATTCGAACAGGGAAATGAGAGTTACTGCTGACTTCATTAGCAAGACCTATTACTTTGTCTGTAGATTTAGAAGCTCTGAAGGTCATAGTGAACTCTCTTCCTTTTGTAAATGTATCTGCAGAAATACACGTTAAAAATACACTTCAGCACTAAAGTTGCGTATTTCTGCACAGATTCTGTGTTAAACTGGGTGTTTATAATTGGCAACTCACTATTCCAAAATATCTCTTCATATTCCAGAAGAATAATTTGTATATGAATAAATATGCACTACTCATTGACTGATAGGAGCAATGCTGAAAAAATAAAAATAATTGTGGAATGCTGAAATGTCATTTGCTTTTAGTAAGATTTGGTGAAATGAAAACAAAAAAGGACAGTGAATAACACCTGTAAAACTGATTTAGTATTGGGGATACAGCTGTATCTCGGCATCTGCATCAACTGTGGCAGAAGAATTAGGTATTAGGTTATCAAAGAATTAACAGAACAGCTGTAATAATCCTTAACTATTCACAAAACAATGGTAGACTACATAACTTTTTCTTTGATTGTGATTTTGCTGAATCGTAAATGTTGTATGACTACTTTGAGGAGAATAGAAGGTTCAAACCCCAAGGCACCTGAAGATGAATTAATTAATTTAAAGTATAAATGTCAAGTTCTCTTTTTTCCCTGCGCTGCAGAAAATGGCTTCCCTGTATCCTAGTAAAAATACTAGTTTACTCCTCCTAGCGTTCTCCAGTTTACCATTACAGTGAAAATTCCATTACTTTAAGGAGAGCGGGATGAATGCCTGCTCAGACGTCATCAGTAGAAGACTGTGGCTGCAGAGGGCCCTTTTTACCATTCCTGCACCTTGTACCCTTGGACACGTAGTGTTTCATGTTTCTCCTAGATTAAGAACTGGATGAGAAAATTACCTGTAATAATATGCCAGTAAATAGAAACTTGTTGCTCTTGCTTCTCTGGCAGTCCCCAGGAGAGAGCAGAAAATGGGGAAAGTTTGTGGTGTTCAGTTGAAAGTAGGTAATCTTTATTTTTTCTTTTTGTTTTCGTTGTTAGTGTTTCTTAAAATGTTCCTTACTTTAAACCTTCTGAAAGTTTTACAGAAGTAAAGGAAGACTTCTTAGAAAATAGTGTGGAACACATTACGGTGGTATAGAAAAAACAAGTGATCATCTTTTGATAATTTTTAGCTTAAATGTAAGGAAATTTTTATTATGATATTATAAATAACATGCTTTTTTATTTTCAGTTTTGGTGCCAAAACTTGTACGTTCACTCTTATTTAAAGAACTTAATACTTGTCGGTTGCATTGAGCACTAGTATGTCTGTTTAGATATGCTTTGTTAGCATAGTGGATACATTACTCCTCTAATAACTAGGACAGCTTGTTTAAGCACTGAACTAGAATGCTCTGGGAAGCTGAAAAAACACAAAATGCTACAAAGTAAATAACAGCTTTGTGTACTTGAAAATATATATTCGTATTTTCAAAACTTGGCTGTAGCGTGTGTCATACCCAGATAACGTGTGAATCTTAAAGTGAAATGTTGTAATGTGGAACCTCTTTAAGCAGGTCTACTGTTGGTTAGCAGATGCATAGAAGCTTTTGCCCTGTAGTGTTTGAAGGCTGTTTTCACCACTTTTGAGAAATTCTTCTCTGCCTTGATGAACAGTTTTGTTCACTAGGTGAATAAAATGAGGTCAATGTTATCATTAGCATTATTGTCCATTGTGAAAGAAGATTTTTTTTTGCATGATTTGGCAAATTTTCAGGACATAGTTTGCAGGCATGATGTTGGAACATCTGGCATCAGCAGAAAGGTACCTAATATGTCTGTATTAGATTTTTATGCTGTGGTTTTTGCCACTTAGTTTCACATAATTATTTTTGTTGTTTGATCTTTAGAATGTGTTTCTGCTCTTCAGAAGAATAACTAATCAAATTCTTCACTTGTTTTAATGATATGTTTTTATTTTGTGTTTCCTGAAACTGCAAATTACCAAGCTATAAAACACAACATGGAAATTCTACCAGTATTCAGAGTCCAAAAATGAAATACTGGCAGAGGGAGTTCTTGGAAAGATAGGCATGAACAAAAGGTACTTTCTGTAACAAAGAAATTTGCTAATCTTTGAGAGGTATAAGTGTGAAAAACTTGAAATAATGCACAAATGATAGTGCAACTGAGACGACTAATAAAAGTTGATAATGATGTTAATGAGTCTGATAATACTGCTACTTCTCATTATAACTGAGTACTCTTTGTCCATTCTTTGTTGATAATCTCTTCTTTATTGAATTGACATGAATAATGGAAATACTGATGCTTGAATCCCACGTTTGAATGTGCCTTTCTTTTAATTTAACAGGTTTTAGGACTGATTCAAAATATGAGTGTTTTCCAGTGTCCCAAGTGTAAGCATGAGACACACATTTTTGGAGCTGATGGTGTAAGAGATCTAGCAAAAACACTTGGATTGGATATTCTAGGTAAGGATATAGAAATGGTTTGAAGAAAAATTTAATGATGTGCGTGAGGGAAGCATTAACTGAAGTATGGAGCTGCATAATCCTAGATTACTCTATATTCAGACAGTGTTCAGATATAATAGAACTAATAGCTTGAGTAGTTGAATGTCACAATTTTTGTATGCTCTGTTTGTTATCAGGATCATTCTTGTAAATGGGATGTGGACTGGATGTGAAAATTCTTGAATTGCATCTTAAGTCTCTCTTGATTTAGAAACAATCCAGAACATGAATTGTTTTGATATTAATGTGCTGTATTATCTGAAATTCATTATGTTATTGATCATACAACAGTTTTTACAAATAACTGAGAATTCTCTTTGGTCTTGTGAAACAGACCTAAACTCTGTCCGTTAATGTCAGTAGAAGTTTTCTTATTTATTCCATTCATGATATGAGTTGTTCCATATTGAAATAAATATGGTAATTTGAAATGGAATCCCTTAAAGCTGTTGTTTTTATGACCATATGAAGATGCCTTGACTCTTGTATGGAAGCAAGCAGACTGTAATGATTGTATTTAAGTGTTGAGATTAAAAGAATATGCTGAATTGCAAAATGTTGTTTCAAAAGAAAATTTATCTTTATTGAAAACAAAAATTAGCCATGATTAAATGATCTGGCATGCCTATAAGCTAAAATATACATTGATCTTTAAAATATACATTGCTATTTTTAAAAGGCATATTTCAACCTGTGCTGTCAGTAAAAAAAATTACAGAATATAACAGCATAATTAAATTGGTAAATGGGATAATTGCATGTGCTAATGATGTGTTTCGATGTATTACTATAATTACCTCAATGATTTTCCATAGCTAATTCATTAAAAGGAACCAGGAAGCTCACTTAGAAAGATCAACACAGAAACATCAAGGTCTGACATAAACTTAAGACAGGAAGGCAACACATAATTAAAGACATGCTTTTGGGCTGTCTTTCAGTTTTCTGAATATATAATGAGTTGTATCGGAGCCCAGGGGGACTCCTACAGCCCTGGGTTATGTGGATAGATGCAAATCCTCTGCAAGCAGTTGAATCAAACAGACATTTAGATACACAAGCACAAATGATGTGCCATGCCGTTGGTCCCATAGATGGTTTTTGTTATTCCTTAAGAGAGCAGAACTGATTGTGATTGTATTTAATTAGGAGCGATGCGAGAGATTTACAGGTTTAGCAAGGGATGGATGACATGTATGAAGAAAAACAGAGTGAAGTTTACCTTCAAACTGTTGGTGAAAGACCAGACTAAGGTTAAGAATAATGCCCCAAGTGTTAAATTTGGAATTACAGTACTTGATCTGATTAGTATGCTCCTCCTTGCAGAGATGACCATTACATAATAATACCATATGGTATTATAAGAAATACTGCTTACAGATTTTACATTAATCTATTCCAGATGGAAGTTTTATCCCAATGTTACTTGAATTCTGCCCAGAAGCCTTGAGAACTTTTTTTTTAATATGTATATAAAAATAAAACATATATATTTAAAACAAGTATTTCTAAATTTATTTTGCCTATATTTTGCAACACCTGTGGCAGTTCTGTTTGTTCAGCTAAGGACTAGTCCTCCCATAAAACCTGACAAGGTTTTAGTTTCCATGATAACATCTGACAAATTCTGCGAGCTAGCAGTGTGCAGGATAGAAAAGTATTTTCCTTTTATTTGCTCAGAATCATATGCCTTTAATATTACTGAATACTTCCTTTATTCTTCTTTATGACAGAAGACAATTAGCAGTTGTCAGTATACACCTTTGAGTGTAGTTCATTATTTCATATACTTTTGTCTCATCTTTTTATTGTTCGCTAAAGGAGTGTTGCAAAGTTTGTGAGGACTTTGTGCTGCTGATCGTGTCTCTCCCTGTCTATGAAATTCCCCTATTTTGCTTTCTTTTTTTTTGTTTGGTGCCCATAACTTTGACCAGAAAGCTATACCGTTGGTATACATGATACTAAGATAATAATTTCTGTACACTGCTTCCTCACCTTTACACTTCCTAATGTTTTGAACCATATCTGCTGATAGAACCAGCAACAATGACTCTCAGATTTTTAAAATGCTTTTTTGGTTTTACTTCCTAAAATAAATGAAAATTACTCTCAGCACTTATGCTTTCAAGGACCCCCTAAATTTTTTTTTAATGAATCAGTGAACAGACACAGCTAAAGAAATTTTTTCATGAATGAAACAAATAAAAAACAATTAAATTTGAAGGAAATGGAGTGTGGTCATCATAAATAACAAACTGATGTTCTTCAAAGATTCAGTTTGCTAATCACGGAGCCACAGCCTCTGTGTTTGGGATTTGTTTGATTTTTTTATTTGTATTCCTACTTGCTTTCAGTTCTGGGTTTTTATCTCTTAGATGCGTCAATTTTCATACATTTTTTAAATGTTTCTTTTTATGACTACATTGAACTTCAGTAGTTTACACTGGCCTTGGTTTGGGTTAAATAAATGTTGCTAAAGTGTATGAATTAAACTGATACAGTTTCTGAGACCAGTCAAGATTGAACTAAGGTAGACTGTTCTGTCTACATCCATCCAAGATGTAAAACCTAGCTGTACCTTCCATTTAAAAGAAAGTCAGGCTTCAATTCACTTCATAATTATCTGTGTAGCAATGAACTAAACATGGGAACTTCAAGTTTTCGTTAGTGCTGAAAAACAGTATTTCAGAAAGCACGTTTCAGAATGGAATAGGGCTGCTAATTGATTCTCCCTTAGAGAGTTCCTTTCCTCTCTGACAGTTCCCTGTTTGTTATAAAAGCAGACTATAAAGAAGTTTTCTATTGGAAAGAAGAATGAACGTAGTTGTCTACCTTTTAATTGGATCCAAGGCCCAATAAGGACAATAACAAATGCTATTATTTGGAAATTAAGTATTCAAAGAAGTCTTTGAACAGTGATTAAAATCTTGAAACAGCACTGAAAGGAAAATGCAATGAGATAGGCTGAACAGTAAGTTGCATGATGAGCGTTTGCCTAATACTCAAGCATTTTTTTTTATGTACACAAAATAATTTGTATCTCAGCCTGTGTTTTTTCTGTGTATTCAGGAGGCAAAAAAGCAAACTGCCTTCTGTAATAAATGACTGCAAAGCATAGTCCTTCCTATTCAGAGAATGAAAAATCCAGAATAAGTTTGGCATTAATCATTATGGATGTACAGAAACTGTACTGCAGCCAATTTTTGTTTTAAACGCTAATTTTTTGAGATTAAGTAATTCAAAGAATATACTGAAATGGCATTTGATTGCAAGTCGCTTTAGGGCTGTTAATGAAACATTCAAGAAACATTCGGTCTTCACATATATGTATCTTGGTATTGTTGATACAGGAGACATTCCGCTGCATGTTAATATACGGGAGACGTGTGATTCAGGACAACCTGTTGTGATCTCGCAGCCTCAAAGTGATGCCGTAAGTTTGGTGCACTGCGCTTTAAACAGTAAAAAGCTTTCCCCAAGAAGTGACTGGATAGTGCTTCTCGTTATTGCTGTTTGAAAAGAAATGAGTATCTGCATGTAACTTAGGGAAATAAAGTAAAAGAGGGTAGTATCATCAAGTAACTCAGACCCTTCATTTTGGAATGCTGGTCATCCGTTCTGTGGGTTTGGTTTTATTTAATTAGTCTGAATCATTCAGAACAGCGAAGATTTGATCCAGGCTCTGGCATGCCAAGAAGAGGAAGGTCAATGTCAAGGCTCATGAGACCTTGCAGCTGAAGTAGATCCTCTAAAACTGTCAGTTGAGCCTTTGGTAGTGAAGCCTGGAAACCGTCAAAGGGTCCTATCGAAAGATGTTTAAACGGATTTTTCTGTGCCTTTACCATAACATTTTATTGCCAAAGGAAAATATGAGTTGTTGAGGTGATGGGAGTCAAATATGCAAGTCTGTAAAGAAAAGCAGTTGCACGTATAAAACTTTGTCAACACTGATGTAGTAAGATTTTCCTGGCTAGTGTTTTCTCGTGCGTCTTTGCTGGAGTTTGTCTGCCAGGCTCTGTAGGGCAGGGTGTTGTCTGCCACGTTGTCTGTGCGCAGTACATGGCGTGATACAGCCTCACTCTTGACTGCTGCTTAGATGTTACCATAAAGAAAGTGCTTAATGCTGATAATAGATGGTAGAATTAATTAGAGATAAGGTAGAATGTACAAATAAGGTAACCTTTCTAACATTGTGATTGCTAGGCATTTACTGAAAAATTTTTTCCTTCCCACTCTTTTAAAAGGAAAAAAAAAAGGATAATCCAGTATTACTAATGTACTGATTGGGATTCCGGAGGAACGGGGACAGTCTTAAAAATTGTCATATATCATTTTGTTTTGAGAGAGAAGCAGCAGCACGATGGCATGTTGATTTCCCATTGAATGCAGTATTTTTGCTAGGTTTGGGGAAGGCCCGTGCTGACCTTCTGTGGAATAATGTAGTGATCTTGAGTCTAGATCCTTGTGAAAAGGAATCTTTATAATCAATACTGAAGTTTCCATCTGGGAAGTTTGATCAGCAGCGCAAAGGTTTGAATAGATGTGTGGCTTAGGTCAAAGTTGAAGCAAAACAGCTGAGGAAACCAAGATGGAAGGCTCACAGTTCCCTGTATCTGAAATCTATAATAACCAAGAGTCTGTAGCCTGCAGGATTATCAATCTAAAAATTCAGACATGTAGGATAGCATTCTGAAAATTCAAAAAGACAAGAAAGGCTGTTGTGTTGCCATCTGTTGCTCCTTCGACTGTGTTCTTGGTAATGAAAGGAGGGGTTATAAGCACCATTTCTGGCAATTAAGTTAAATATGAAGAGGAATAAAGATTGACAAATATGTGTGACTCTGGGGAAAACTTTTAATATTCTTCTCTGCCGTTGTGTCTGTGAGATAATCATTCTCTTCAGACAATGAGGTTTTTTTAGATGTCACTAATCTCTACAGAATGAAAAAGAATTTACATTTATCCCTGGATAGCTTCTCATTTTAAAGACAGATAAAATGATTGTTGTTCTCTTATATTTTAAAACAAAAATTAAAATCTTAGCACATAACTGATGGTGGGAGAGGTCATATAAGGTCAGATTCTAATCTTGAATAAATGACACCCATCGCCATGTTTCTTAAACTACAATTGTGGCTATTCATGCATGAACAATCACAATTTTTCAGATAGAGAACAATGTGTGCAGAGCTGCTGAAATGGTCTATGCTCTTGTCCTTTAAATTTACAGGTGTTTCTTGTAATGCAAAATTCTGTGCTGTTTTTGTTAGAACACACTTACAAATCAAATACAGAATCACAAAACGGAAGCAATACTTAGCCGATTCAAACAGTGGGGAGTAAGGATGGTGATAGACTTCTTAGAAACCTAGCATGCTGCCACACTTCCTAAGCTCTGTCAAGACTAGAATAAAGGGTGTTTCTAAGATATGTTGGCTAATACTTCTTTTGGTTACACACTTGCTGCGGAGTTCAACTTGCCTTGCTGATACATAAAAGTATAGCTCTCACTGTACATTAGAATTTTAAAATGTGTAAGCAAACTTGTCTAAATTTGTTATTTTAAAGCTTAGATGTAGTTGGTGGAAAAGGGAAGCTTACTTTTCACAACTAGCAGGGAAATTATAAACAACGAAAACAACCCTTCCAGAAAAAAAAAAGATTACTTGTAGAATTGTGCATGTGTGAACTTAGAAAGTTCTTCCTTAGGGAATGCACAGAATACATAAGACTCATGTACTTATGGAAAGGGCTGACTATATAGCTAAAGGATGTGAAGGTTTAAAGGCCAGAGTTCTTCTGGTGAAGCCTAAGACAGTCCCCAAGGAGAAATAAACAGTGCTGGTAAAGTGATTTTGCTCTTGGTATAGTGTTGTCTACATTAATGTTTCTGTCAGCTTAGGTATTTAAATTGTGGCACTTTTTTAACACTCTTTGTTGACAAAACTTTGTAATGTGCTGTACAAATGGAGTATTGCTGTACTCGCATGTTGGTGTCAAGTGACAGGGGCTTGTCTAACAGAAAGAGAGCAGGCAGACCACAGCAACTGGGAGTAATCTAACATCCTCTACAAGAAGCTAGTAATTTCTTAGTTTAATCAACAGTGAAAACTTACCAGACCCTTCTGGAGATAAGTGAGAGTCTTGGGAGCATTTTTGTCTGCGATCAACCTGTGGAGGTAGATTGGCTGACTGGAGCTTCGTTTTTTTGCTCACCCAAATTTATGAGACAGCAAAGGCTAGTAAAGGAGAATAAGGACCAGGGAAAACAGTAGGGGAAAAGGTTGAATAGGGGAAACAAATGAGGAATCACTGAAACCAGGTGGAATTGATCATGCTCAGATGTAGAGGATGTAGAGATGTAGAGGTTTAAATGCCCAGTGAACTCTCCATCAACACTGAGGGAAAAGGTAAGTAGAGGTTCCTAAGAGCTCTTCCATCTGTGAGCACAGAACCCGGAGATGTATGGGACAATTGGTGGTTATCTTGTGAGGACTTCCTGCTAGAAACTTACGGGTGTATCACAGCCTTGATGGCACTGGATCTGCTAATACCTTGCAAGAAGAGACAGGCTAACTAACGGTGACCACTGAGCACCAAAATCCCATCTATCTCACAGTCTAAATGTGACCGCTGAGCACCAAGCTCCCATCTATCTCAAGGTCAAAGAAGCAGCTTAAGCAAGTACAAAACACATTTGCTGTACCAGTGTGTCCATTTACTCACTAAAAGCTAGGGAGTCTTGTTGGGATAGACATTTCAGGGAGGAGACATGCTGGAGGTGGAGGCAAGCAGTAGACATTGTCTCTCATCTTGTCTTGGGAATAAGGTGATTTAAAAAAAAAGTTGTGAAAGAATGAGGTTTAGATTTCACCTTCTTCCCCTTCTCCATTATTAAAGAGATAGTGAGCTCTTATGACAGAAAGTATAAAAAAACTCCAAATTCCAGGAAACACATAATGGTCAGATAGTTCCTTAGTGTTTTCTTGCCCCGTATTGTTATGGAAAACATTTGGAATCTATTAACGAAAAATACTTGGGAGTTCACCCTCTTGTTAGGTGAAAATCAAGTGGAGTATATTGGAACTTAAGGGAAGATGAAAAAGAGCAAACCCAGTGAATTATCTATAGCTTAGTGTTGGATCCTCAGATTGCACAGCCTTGTGCAGGTATGCACAAACTTAGATGCAGTGCAGCGAGAAATTTATGATTGGATAGGAGGAGAACCAAACTTTTCCTGGAGCAAGGAAGCCAGGACCTGTGGCTGGAAAACACGCTTAATGTCATCCTATCCAGCTTGCGACAAAGACCAGTGTATGATACAAACCCCACATACTTCTTGGGGGAGGTTCTGGTACTGTCTAGTTCACATTCAACAATGTGAAATGTATTCAGCCATCTTGCAGATTTCATATATGAATATATATCAGTGAAGGAATTTGCAGCCAGTAAATTGCATGTAGATCTGTAAGGGGAGAGAAAAAAGCCCAGTCAGATGGAAAGCAGGCACACAAGGCATCAGCAATCTGACATAACAGGGGAAAGTAAGTCTGGTTAAAAATCCCTTTTCAGTTAAATTAGAAATGTTACAGACTTTACTGTGGTATTATCCAAAGAGACAGGTGGAATTTGTATTCAGAAAGACTTTTTTTGTAGCCTTCTACGAATGAGTTATGTATGAGTAGGGTAAAAATGTACAACCTTTTAAAGCTTGCAAGAAATAGTTGGAGAAAAATTGAAGCAGTGGTAGCAAATAATGTTTGCTGTTGTTTAGCTGTCATCAATAATTCCATTTAAAGAGTGGTCTCTCCAGGGTGTGGTATCTTTAAAAGAAAAGCAAACCCTGAAGAAGGCTGCATGATGTTATTTATGATATGCCTTATCATCAAGGCTTGCTTTTGAATGATCACAGTAACATTTGGTATGTGTAGGTTCGCATCTTCATGCAGGGTGTAGATAGTACAATGCATCATCAGACCCGTATTTATGCTTTGCTCTGCTGAAGAAAACGCTGAGTGGTAGGATAGTCTTTTTGAAGGATGTTACTATATTGCATTTGAATTGCACTGTTCTGCTTAACCATGTTTTCTGGGCTGGATGTTTTTTTGATGTACATCATGGCACCTGAGTGATGTATGTGCATAATGGCACCTTGGGGCTAGCGGTATTTCCCAGCTGAGGCTGTCTCAGGAGGCGGCTTGGCTCTTGCAACTGCTGGTAATAGGACTAACAGGAAATTTCCCATGAGCTCTGAGGAATTTTTTTGAGGTATTAGATTCAGGAAATGTCCAGTTTACTTACCATTCTCCTCCATTTCATCTTGTAATGGATTGACTGTCCCCTTTCTGGGCTGAGACTTTATTGCAGCTTGACAGGAGCTGCCAATATATGCAAAGAAGAATTTTACGGTAGAACTGCCCAGAGGAAGACAAAGTGGGAAAGGCTCTGGTCCTCTTGCAGCAATCTAGAATTTCTCTGGGTGACATGAAACTTTTATCTGAAGTGGAAGCTCATTTAAACCTGTGTTTATCATCATGCTTTTAGTGCCTTCTGAGTTGACCACAGCAAAGTACAGACATTAGAGGGCAGCTCCAGGCATGCACTGAAGGTTGGAGCTGTGTCAAAGTAACAAGCAATTTCCATAAAAATTAAAGCTATTTAAAAATCTGATTGAACTGGAAAATGGACTGTGGTTGAGCAAAGAGAATTCTGATAAGAACAAAAGCTATCACCTATCATTATTTCCTTGCAGATGGTAGCCAAGTCCAGTATTTATCCTTGTGATTGTCACTATTGGATTAGTTGCTCATTGCACGTAGTTGCTGGTTTCCTTTAGCAATGAATAAAGTATAAGCCCCTAACAGGTCAGTTGAGCAGATTTAAATACTTTATCCTTCTTTACAGGTATAGTAGCGTCCTCAGCATTCGATGTTCCAGACAGTCAGGACTTGTGTAGATTCTCCCTTGGATTGCTGGGCTGGATAAAGCATCTTAATAGTCTTGGAGTCTTTTAACAGTTTTGACTTTGTTGATGGGTAAACTGTATCGTGTATTTGTGTGGCTATTGCACTAGGCACTGGAAGGCACCCTAGTGAGCTGTTTGCAGGCTAAGATTGGCACTTCAGTGAAAGGCAAATGAGCAGGTCAAGCCAATCCAGTCCATGAGAACAGAGCTCAATCGGCTATGGCCTGTACGGTCAGTTTGCAGTGATCTTAGCAGTGATGCGTACTTCCCTCATGGAGAAGATTTTTGAGGAGAGTGAAATGCCATAAGGAAAGGCTCACAGTTTTCTAGGATTACAGTAGGGCTTTAATTAGATAAGCTAATAAAAAGACTTGCAGCTTAAATCTACCCCACGTCTGTTGTCCCATGCTAGGGTAATGAATCAGGATGTTCTGATTATTTAGGCTAAGTAGGACTTTTCAGTCCTTTTCCTGATGAACTTCATTACAAGTTCTCAGTTTCCTACTCCAAGATCTATGCTGACATTAGTCACTTCATCATTTACCATGCCCTCTCAGTCCTAAGGAGGTTTGTGGTTTGAAGAATGCTGCATTCATTTCCAGCAGTGTTTGTACTGGTGTTTGAGAGGTGAACCGTCTCCCACGTGGCCATTATCTAGCTCTTTCGACTCTCTGAACGTCACCTTCCGCCTCTATCTCTGCCCTCCCCAGTGCTGCTCTCAGAGCCCGTCTAGGCAGTGTTCATAATGAACAAGTCTGGTGTGGTTTTAGGGCATTCTGTCTTCCTGTGTGCTTCTCCTTCATCCTCTCAAAGCAGGGGGAGTGATTGGCTTCCAGCTAATTGATATGTTACTGTTAAATATGGAATTGTCCATCTGCAAAAAAATGCTTTCAGAAAGACAGTCTATAAACCACTCCTTTAGAGCTTCCAAACCATAAAGGGAAAAACTGATCTGTAAAGTTCACTTTTATCCTATTAAAATGAAAATGGTTGTGAGTGATGAATAAGAACTCATCCTTTAAAATTTCTCCTCTGACTTTCCACCTAAAAAGGAAACAAAAAACCCTCTCCTTTTTCAGTTGCAATCTATCTTCTTTTACTTACTAATGGAGGAGTAAGCAGCTGAACTGAGCTGTGCTTATTGTCTACAGATGCTACATTGAAAAGATCATGAGTGGGGGAAAACATTCAATACAAGTAAGGTTTTTTTTATGTAATGAAAGGTGTATTGACAGTTGCTGAGATTCCATTTAGACTTTTCACATATGTTGATGTATGTTACTGCTGATAGACAGGTCCTCACTCATAACTGAATGCTTTGTTCAGAGATGGGAAACTAAGGGTTAAAATAGTTGATTTTGTCAAGGACAGGTTACTGGTAGAGTTCTCGTATGAGATACTGTTCTGTTCAACATAGAAAGTAGTGGTCTAGGAAAACAGAAAAAGAATGCTTAGCAGGCAAGACTGCTGATAACTCAAGGGCTAGATAATACTAGCATGCTGGCTACAAAGAGTTGCACCAGGAACCTCCCATTATGAAGCTATTTGGCACATGAGAGTCAGTGTACATTGCGAAATTGTTGTCCATATACTCATTAACAGTGTTTTGGGGGAAAACAGTTCATTGGGATCTTGACATAGGATAACACACAAGCAGTGAAGTCTCCCAAGCAGGGTATCTGGTTGCTGTCTGGATAGTTACGGAAGTATGTGTTCCAAGGACCCTTGCCAATGATGTCCCTGGCTGGATCAAATGAGACTCCTTGAACTGTTGTTTAGGTCAGTTTTAACAAGGTAGTCTGTAGTCCTGTATAACTACTGCAACATATGTACAATCTGTTACTGCTGATTATCTTGATTTATGTACAGAACATGTCCTGTCTTAACTATGTACAATACCACTGTCCTATTTTACTATTTCTGCATCTACAGGAACAATTTCTGCAGTGTATTTATAATTCTGTGTACAATTTGTTTAACTCTGGAGCAGGAACAGCCTGGGCGGTCTGTAGAAGGGGACAGATTTTCCATGCAGGTTGTTAATTGACTCATTAAAACACATGAATTGATCTGTGCCGAGTGGGAGTTGCCTGTGATACTCTTCAGGATAGTCCAAAATTTGCACCTGGAGCACTCCTACACCGATTAGTCAAATACTTCGCTGCAAAGGCAGCTCGACTTCAGTCAAGGTGGTCCCTTATCTCGTCTGTGCAGGGGGCTAGCTGGGGAGTAGCTGGACCACCCTGGGAATTAACAGCTAGGTGTACTGCGTATCGCACACAGGCACAGCCGTGCTGCCCAGCTGCACTGCAGCTACACCTGTAGCAGAAGTTTGAATTTCGTGCTTGTGACTTATGTTCTGTAGTTCTTGCCACAAAGTCAGCCATATGGAAGAAAACAATTCTAGTTTGGTGTCTGCATTCCTTACAAACTCAGAGAATTATGTGGCTTTAGGTTTAAGGTGATGTGAGCACTGAGACTGTGAGGCACTAAGCCTGGGAGTGCCAGAAAAGAAAATCCTACAAACCAGGAGCAAACGTAGAAGAGAGGAGACGAGTTAGGGGTGTCTGGCCCTGCAAAAGGCTGCCACCTGGTTCAGACCAGCAGCACTTGGTCCTAGTCGCCCTGTTGAGAGACTGGCCACCTCTTCCTGCCCCTCAAGCTCTGGCCTCAGGCATTTGTCAACTTGTTTACTGTTTTAAAGGCTCATCAGGGATACACGGTCTAACTCGAAGTTAGAGCCATCTGAGAGTGCTACAGGAGGCAGGAGGGATTGGTGTGATAGGGAATGTGCTGGTGATTTCTAGTAAAACAGGGAAGATTGTTAATGTGGGCTCCATATGCAGACTTAAATGAGACAGTGAAGAAGTACCTTGGTCACAGGGTAACAGAGTAGAAGCAAACTGAATAGTAGGGGAGTTTTCTGTTGTACTGGACACACACAGAGCGTGACGCACCAGCTGCAAATTGAAGCATGACAAATTCAAGTTATAGATAAGGTGTACATTTTTAGCAATGGAAGTAATCTTTGGAATAATGTACAAGATATGTATACACATGCACAAAGATACTCTTTTAGTTGAAAATCTTTATATCAAGATTGGAGACCTTTCTAAAAAGCATGTTCCATTTCAGCCACAAGTTGTTGAGCTTGATGCAGGACTTACTTGGTTTTGTTTTGTGATTTGTTCTGTGTTGGACCATAGGCAGTGTTTTTATACATGTCTCTAAACATTAGATTTATGAATACTTGATGTTAGACTGATGGTGGTCCTAGCTGTGTCATTTTTTTAAAAAGATGTTATAAGAAGTGTGCCTGTTTGGGTCACTCCTGATAGTCTTACAGTTCTGTGGTCTTCCGCCCTCCAGCGCAGAGAGTCTGACCAAATGCCACAGGTAGTGTGAGAGGGAGAATTTGCTCTATGGATTCTGGTGTTGCCGAGTTAGTTCCTTCTGATACCCACTTTAGTCTCTTGGAAAGATGTATTTTTTTAAAAATACTTCAATTTTTAATGTCTCTGTAGGAAATTCTGTAGTGTAGTCAATTCTGTAGTGTAGTCTAGTCAATAATGAATTAATGATCTTTTTTTTGAATGTCATTGCTTTCTCTGATTTTCTGTCCTAATCCTGTGCATGTGCATCTTGATCTTCAGGGTGAGGGAAGTTTATAACTAATAGTACCTGTGGTACTAGAGAGTCTCCTTCCTTCTCAACACCTCTCCTCCAGAAGAATATTGATTCTGTTTGCTGTTTAAGACAGATAGCTCAGTCAAGTCCCATTCTTCGAATAATGCTAAAGTTAAATTTTATCTCCCCCCCAATATTTTAGATAATGCTTGTACTTATTTTATGTATTAATGCATCATTTTTCCTGAACACAAAACTGGCTAAATCAAGCGCATTTATTGTAACATTTTTCTTTTTCTTTGAATGTGTGAAAGACCATATACCTAACAAGATGTAAAATATTCCATTTTTTAGAAAATGAAAGGTGCTAAATATATGTTTCTCTTCTTACAGGCTAAAGCCTATCTAAAGATAGCTAAGGAAATAGTAAGGCGCCTGCCAGTACCTCCTGCGTGAAGTGTTTATCACTGAAACTGACAAAAAAAGTCATCTTTTGGTGTGGCCAGTGCAGAAGAGTCCTGCTACCTAAGTATGTGGATGCCATATTTTAGTTCTAAGGATTTTTTTAGGCGTTAATTTACCAGAATTTAAATTGTGATTGTGATATTTACTGTTTTTCAAATTATTATTTGGCCATGTCCAAATGGATTGAAGGATGCAAAAGATGATAGACAATATTTAACTGCTGGATTGTAACATCATCAAGCAAGAAGGGATGAAGTACATTTTTCACGTGTCCTGTTTTAAGGTCAAGAATGAAAAACAGCAGCTCCAGCCAAGCAGAACAATGAGAGGGATGTCAAGGCAGAAGTCCTGCTTAAAAAATGACATTTGCAATGCTCTAATTTCTGTCAATTTTCATTCAGCTTTTTCTGCAAAATTTTAAGAAGCAAATTCCGTTATGTAACTGCAATACTTTTGTGTGTTCATCTTAAAAGAAAATTAAAAAACCCTCCACATAAACTCGGAGGAGTTGTTGTGGTGGATCATGAACAAATTCATTCGTTATTGGATAATGTTCAATCATGAGGCAATTCACCGTTTTGTGGAGAATGGATTACATGATCCTGAGGCTTATTTCTTCACAGCTCTGCATTATAATGGACCCAGACTGAAAACGAGGTAACCTGGGTCTTCACTGAAAACCAGATGTTGTGCCTGAGCTCAGTTTGCCATGGGATGCAAATGATCAAGATAAATTAAATTTATGATTGCCTATTCCTGTTACAGTGCGGCAGCTTGGCATTTGAATGTAAAGGTATATTTCTGAAGTAAAGAAAAAATTTGGTCTTCAAACTACGTGGCCTTCTGGTTTGTTTTTTTACTGCCTTATATTTCTGCGATCTTTATTTTTGTGCTGTGTGGAAGTGCAAGAATACGCCTTCAGGGAATGAGTTTCCATTTACAATTAGATGTTTGAGTTGACATTTAGGCTTTTTCATTTACACAGTCGAGTATGGGTATCTTAAACATACGTCTTAACCATGCCATACTGGGAATTTAACCATACTAGGGAGTTCTGCTGTTCACCTCTGTGGGACCAAGATTTTCCCCGTACTCCAAATTATTACTCGTAATTTTGGATGTGGTTTTTTTTTTCTTATTGAAGTGGTACAATGTAAGAAGTTGGTATACATTTACTTTAAGAATATCTAAGTAATGTGTACCCAGAATTTACACGGAAAGCTAGACACGAATTATGGGTTGACTTTCAAGCTTAGGTGATTTTGTAAATGTGTAAATTTTATAATCCAAGACTGATGATTTTGTGCTTCAAGTCAATCTCTGAACCTCCTCACCCACACCCTCCCTCATGAGATCTCGTATCAGTGTTAAAATTTTTCAGTAGCATATTATTCCAGGCCTGTAGAATTGACACAAATACTCTCTTCCTTTCAGTTGTCTAATGTATTTTACAAAAATTAAAAGCTGGCTTGGTGTTCTGCCCTTTCATGTTTTATTTTCTAATTGAGTTTTATCTCTACACATATTATTTATTCACTTCTGCTTTACATATTGTAGTCACTGATGTGTATGTCTACAAGTAATCCTGTGGTGGTTTTCACATAGTATAATCATAAATTTCAGTGGAAAAAATGGGATTTCTGACTGCTTTTTAGCAAAAGTCAGTGATACTTTCTGAACTTTGGTATTTATTATTTTCGTTCTGTTAAAAAGAAAGTCTCTGACACCCAGTTCATGTCAGTATACAGATATAAGGTTGTTTGTTTTCCCTTTCTTTTCTTTTCTCTCTCATTATTTCTTGGGTTAGTTGAGGGATGAAATTTGCTTTCAAATGCCCTTTTTTATTACTCCTTTTTACATGTTTTTTTCCTTTTAATTAAGTACTGTGGTTTTGCTCTATTGAATCTTTCACCTGCAGAGATATGCTGCATGCCTTTATCAAGAAACTGGTTATAATGATTAAATATAATTTCTTAAGCCAATCTGAAAATTCATATTTTTAACATTTTTGTGGAAGGATTGCACATTGTAGGTGAAACCTGATTTATTGATTACAAATTGTCAGTCATTTAAAATATATATATTTGTATGGAGTAGGTAGGACATTTGTACATTTAAGGATAGCAATGGTCAAATCAAATTTAAAATGAGAACATATTTCCTTTACTGTTACCTGGACAGGCTGGAAAGTTGGGCAGAGAGGAACCTGATGAGGTTCAACAAGGGCAAGTGCAGGGTTCTGCACCTGGGCAGGAACAACTCCATGCACCAGTACAGGCTTGGGACGGACCTGCTGGAGAGCAGCTCTGTGGAGAGGGACCTGGGAGTGCTGGTGGACAACAGGTTGACCATGAGCCAGCAGTGTGCCCTGGCTGCCAAGAAAGTTAATGGGATCCTGGGATGCATTAGGAAGAGTGTGGCCAGCAGGTTGAGGGAGGTTCTCCTTCCCCTCTCACCGACACGAGTTTGACTTTAGGGCTACGAGGATGGTGAGGGGACTGGAGCATCTCCCCTACGAGGAGAGGTTGAGGGAACTGGGCTTGTTCAGCCTGAGGAAGAGAAGGCTGCGAGGGGACCTTATAAATGCCTACAAATATCTGCAGGGTGGGTGTCAGGAGGATGGGGCCAAGCTCTTTTCAGTGGTGCCCAGTGACAGGACAAGGGGTAATGGGCACAAACTGAGGCACAGGAAGTTCCGTCTGAACATGAGGAGGAACTTCTTCTCTCTGAGGGTGACGGAGCACTGGAACAGGCTGCCCAGGGAGGTTGTGGAGTCTCCTTCTCTGGAGATATTCAAGACCCGCCTGGACAAGGTCCTGTGCAGCCTGCTGTAGGTGACCCTGCTTTGGCAGGAGGGTTGGACTAGATGACCCACAGAGGTCCCTTCCAACCCTTACCATTCTGTGATTCTGTGATTATCATGAGTGAAAAAGTAGGTTTTCCAGCCCTTCTCCTGCAAAAGAAATGAAGGGCGTTGATGACACAGTGTTATTGCTACTTAATATTAGAGAAACACATACTCATATTTTTTTTATTATACAGTACACTGTTTAATACATATTTGTGAATTCTAGTCAACATGGTAGATTTGAAATTGCAGTTCATAAAATCACTTATAGAAGTTATTGGATTGGGCGGGGGTGGTGGTTGGATCAGTCGGAGGTTGAGCAGGAGACACTGGCATTTAACCATAGTTTATAAATACAGATTATAGATTTGACACACAGTGGTGTTTGCTCTTTTCAACTCCAGTATTTTACTTTCATCTCTGTGATATTTCCTAGTGTACTGGTACCTTTTTTCTAAAAAGGCTAATCCTACCGACAGGACCTGGCTTTCCTAAGCTGTATGGGTAGATGCTCTTTGCTCAGGAGCAATGGAGACTTTCTGCAAAATTGCTGTGATCGTGGGTTCCTGGCACAGAATTATTAAAGTCAGTAGGGCTGTAAGCTGCAACTCCACTCTGCAAAATCTCACAGAGGAAGAAGAAGAAGGAGGAAGGCTGGGGAGGCACCGGGCCAGGCAAGCAGGAGCAGGGACAGGGGCGAGTGGCAGTCCCGGGTTACCTCCCATGTCTGTCCAGAGCACAATCTGCCGGCTCACCCTGCATCACTGCCAGAGCGTTTCTTTACCATCGCTACACAGCCCTTTTTGTAGCGGCCACACTTGTTGTGTTTGCAGATAATTCCTGTCGTCGTTTCTTGGATGAGGAGCATGTGGGCTATGTCTTTTCCTGGCTTCCACAAGCTCCGGTTTTAATGGAACCCAAAGAGCGTAAAACTGTTTGTCTCAGTGAATCATTTTGCTGTGAAATTTCTGCTGCGATGTTCAGGTCGATGTGAGCTGTTGAGCCAGTGAGACTATTGGGTTGTGCGTTCCTTCGAATGTTAAATTTCTCACAATAACCACAACAAAGTTTTTAATTGAAACAATGAGAGGAAATTAGTTTGCAAATCACTTTTTGTCTACTAATTCAATCTGAGTTTAAACTACAACCCATTTTAGTTGCTCTGATTGGGGGTAATGGTGATGAAATAACACTAACACAGATTAAAAATGGCAGAGGCAGCTCATCTTCAGGGTATTAACAGAACCCCCCGGTAATTCTGACCTTGCTTCAAAGTAGTTACTCGCTTGGATCCTGTGCAGCAGGTGACTCCCCTCCCTATCTTTCCCTTAGTAAGTATATGGTTTTCACCTGGACCTACTCAGACTCCCTGTTGGGTTGTCCCTGCTCATGATGCTGTTAGTGCTGAGGAGAGCAGGCTCTGGTCCGAGGCAGGTGCTGCCCGCTGGTTTGTTGGTAAACTTTGGTCAGGCTATTACTGGGCCCCCTAATGCAAACCAGAGGCTGCAGTCAAGGGGGGGAAAAGAGAGTGAATAAGGGGTGAATCTCATGCCAGTGGGAATATCTCCAGGTTCCCAGAGACCATGCTGTAATAATATTGGGCTTGCAGGTGCAAGAATGTATGTGGGAGAATAACAGCAGGAGAGCAACAAGAAGAGAAAACGTTTCTGTTGCTTAGGTGAAAGATTAAAGAGCTGCGAGAGGCTCTGCGGGCTACAGAACTGATTTGCAAAGGCTGAGGCAGCGAAGGTGCTGCGCGACGAGACAATGGGGATTTCGGTGCTTACTCCCAGCTTTATTGAAGTTTTTTACCTAACGAGTCTGTGAATAAAACAATCAATTCTCAGGATAATGTCTGGCATTGTAGCTGCTTACAGACCTGAGAAAAGCCTGGGAGGTTCTGCTTTTGGATTTTGATACCCGCGTGTTGTTTTAGTTTCTCATGGTCCCATCTGGGCCTATATTGTCGTTTTTGTTTAACAGGAATTGCTTCCTAGCGGAGGCGGTTAGGGGACAGACTCCTGCTTAAGGATGCTTGACAATAAGATGAACCTAAACTGCTGATTTAATTTCAGAATTGACTTATAATGGCAGGAGTTATAATGATGATTATGTTTTATTTTGGCAACATATCAGACAAGGC